TTTCCTATTAAAAACATGGAGAACAAGTCCAGCCAGGTGAACCCAACCCCCACCCTATGCCATGGGACGACTCCCCCTCTGCTGCCCCAACAGTCATTGTTTGGGCCAACTGCATGCTGATGAATGACCTCTGACCCTTGCCATAGGGTTCCTGACCTCTGACCTTCTCCTGTTCCCACCACCATGAACTCTAATCACACATGATCGGTTGTCCTATGACTGCCAACTTTGAAGCTGCTGGACCCGTCCTACGCTTCCTCTACCGTATATAACCAAAATGGCCTTGAAGGGTTTGTTTGTCCAACAGCATCAGGGTATCAGGTTGTCACAAGGGTCCAACACAAGTCAGCAGGACCCTGCCCCACCTACAGCAACACCAGACACACTCTGGCCATTGCATGAGACACTCACTGGATACACCAGGCAGGCCCTGAGGAAGGAACCAGAAACCAACCGGTCCCATCTACAAGGAAGACACCCCTGTTTAATGGAGGGGGAGGGGGGCTTGGATTCAGTTCCAATCCTTTAAATTTTAGAATTCCTGAAATAATAAAAAAAAAGGATATTTTTATTTCATGAACAAGTCGTAGCTGGGAAGATATTGTGTCATGGTCCTTCAAGAACCATAGACAGTTCACCCTTAACTCAACCACTCAACATGGACTCCAGTTTGTCTCTTTCAGCTGTTCTTCTAGTGGCCTATATCTGAGATTCCTCATATCAATCCACTGCGGGCACAGATCCCCAACTGAGGATGAAGGCCCGGATCACCATGACTGAGAGGATACTGAGCCTCACCCTGGAGATCATCTACCTGCTGACCGGAGAGGTGAGGAGGATTCTGGGAGGTCACATGACATTGCTCTCCTCTCTATAAATAAAACACAGACCTGACTGGAGAGGTGAGGAGGATTCTGGGAGGTCACATGACGTCACTCTTATCTCTATTAATAAAACACAGACCTGACCGGAGAGGTGAGGAGGATTCTGGGAGGTCACATGACGTCACTCTTATCTCTAGTAATAAAACACAGACCTAACCGGAGAGGTGAGGAGGATTCTGGGAGGTCACATGACATCACTCTCATCTCTATTAATAAAACACAGACCTGACCGGAGAGGTGAGGAGGATTCTGGGAGGTCACATGACATCACTCATCTCAGCTACAACGAGATTTACTTTTCTTCATACTCAATAATGCTTATTTCTATTTAGGAATCCGTAGTGGTAACAAAGACATCTGTGGAGAACGTGACACCCAGGAGTCACCCGCGGGTTTTAAATGAAAAAATCAATGATGAGAGGATTCTACAACTAAGCAGCAAAATCACTGACCTGCTGACAGGAGAGGTGAGCGGTGCTGGGAATTCTGGGACATTCTCCAGTAACAGACAAGGGATGTGTCTGGATGGTGACTGTATCATTGTGTGTGTCAGGTTCCTATAAGGTGTCAGGATGTCACTGACCTTTCTGACTCTACTGTTACATAGCTTGTCTCCCTCCCTTCCTCCCTCTCTCTTTCTCCATCCTCCATTCTTTTTTTTTTATTTTATTTTTACTTTCTCTCTTTTCTTTTTCTCTCTCCCCCCCCCCTTTTTTTTTCTCTCATTTCTCTTGTCCTTCTCCTTCCCCCCTTCCACTCCACTCCACTCTCTCTCTCTCCCTCCTCCCTTTTTCTCCTCTCCTTTTCTTTTTTTTATCCTTTCTTTTCTCCTCTCTCTCTTCTCTTTTTTCTCCTTTCCTCTTTTTTTCTTTTCTCCTCTCTTTTCTCTACTCTCCTCTTTTTTTTCCTCTCCTCTCTTTTTTCATTTTCTCTTTTTTCTCCTTTTATCTTTTCTCTTCTCTCCCCTCCCCTCCTTTTTTCCCCTCTCCTCTCCTTTTCTCTTGTCTCTCCACTACTCTCTTTTTCTCCTCTCTTTCACCTCTTTTTCTCTTTTCTCTCCTCTCCGCTCTTTTTTTCTCCTCTCTTTTCTCTTATCTTTTTTCTTCTCTCCTCTCTTTTCTCTTCTCTCTCCTCTCCTCTCTTTTTTCTTCTTTCCTCTTTTTTTCTTCATTCCTCTCCCTCTCTCTTTCTTTCCTCTCCTCTCCTTTTCTCTTGTCTCTCCTCTACTCACCTTTTGTTCTTTTCTCTTCTCTCCTCTCTTATTTTTATCCTCTCTTTTCTCCTCTCTTTTTTCTTCTTTCCTCTCTTTTTCTTCTCTCCTCTCTTTTTCTTCTTTTTTCTTCTCTCCTCTCTTTTTTTTTTTCTCTTCGCTCTCCTCTCCTCTTTTTTTTTCTCTTCTCTCTCCTCTTTTTTATCTTCTCTTTTTTCTCCTTTTCTCTTTTTTTCTTCTCTCCCCTCCCCTCTCTTTTCTTTCCTCTGTTTTTTTTTTCCCCTCTCCTCTCCTTTTCTCTTGTCTCTCCACTACTCTCTTTTTCTCCTCTCTCACCTCTTTTTCTCTTTTCTTCCTCTCCTCTCTTTTTTTATCCTCTATTTTCTCCTCTCTTCTCTCCTCTCTTTTTTCTTCTTTCCTCTTTTTTTCTTCTCTCCTCTCTTTTCTCTTCTCTCTCCTCTCCTCTTTTTTATCCTCTTTTTTTTCTTCTCTCCTCTGTCTTTTTTTTCCTCTCCTCTCCTTTTCTCTTGTCTCTCCACTACTCTCTTTTTCTCCTCTCTCTCACCTCTTTTTCTCTTTTCTCTCCTCTCTTTTTTTATCCTCTTTTCTCTCTTTTCTTTTCTCTCCTCTCTTTTTTTCTTCTCTCCTCTCTTTTCTCTCCTCTCTTTTTTTTCTCTTCTCCTCTCTCTCCTCTCCTTTTCTCTTCTCTCTCCTCGTCTCTCTTTTTTATCCTTTTCTCTTTTTCTTCTCTTTTTTCTCTCCTCCCCTCCTCTCTCTTTTCTTTCCTCTGCTTTTTTTCCCTCTCCTTTTCTCTTGTCTCTCCACTGCTCTCTTTTTCTCCTCTCTCACCTCTTTTTCTCTTTTCTTCCTCTCCTCTCTTTTTTTTCTCACCTCTCTTTTTTCTCTTTTCTCCCCTCTCCTCTCTTTTTTATCCTCTCTTTTCTCTTTTTTTTCTCCTTTCCTCTCTTTTTATTTCGTCTCTCCTCTCTTTTTTCTTTCCTTTCCTCTCTTTGCTCTTCTGTCTCCCTCTAACACTCTTCCAATGCCCCTATCAGTGTCCCACCACTCCCATCTTCTTTTCTCTCTCTTTCTTCCCAGTACTCATCTTCCTTATCATGACTACAACTGACCGTCTCCATTGCCCTCCCAGGGATCCTGCAGCCTAATCCCAGCCAAAATATTGATGGACTGGGAAGGAATCTCCATTTCTCTGCTATTTCAGCTTTTTACACCATTGGGGAAGTTTTTCCCTCACTTCTTGGTCACGTTGACAACTGTACAAGCTGGAGTGGTTGTCAGTGGGACAGAAAGACATAGACAACAATAAAATATTGTCAGACGTTCCAACCCTTCCTTCTGGGTTTTAAATCTGAAATTTGGGGTAACAAACGTTGTCTACAAGATGCATGTGTGTTCTTCTTTGAAGGACGGTTCACACCACATGCAGTCCAGTACTTTTTTTTTTTCCTGCATCAAAAATGCATTGATTGTAGGTTACATGGTTTCCAATGGCATAGTTCACACCAGTGCGGTCAGATCCAGAAAAAAAATAAAAGTAGAACATGCTGCATTTTTTCTGCACTGTACTGGAATGCAGTAAAATGCACCAAAAATGCACTGGAACACACATGTCCTTATTTAAATTGAAGTAAAAGAGAGGGGAAAAAATTAACCTGAATGCATCAAAAATGCACCGAAACGCATCAAATGCTTATGCAGAAATGCATCCGGAGCGCATCAAACACACATGCAGAAATGCATCTGGAACACATCAAACACACATGCAGAAATGCATCCGGAACGCATCAGGAACACATGCAGAAATGCATCCGGAACGCATCAAACACACATGCAGAAATGTATCTGGAACGCCTCAAACACACATGCAGAAACGCATCTGGGACACATCAAACACACATGCAGAAATGCACCGGAACGCATCAAACACATGCAAAAATGCATCCGGAACACATCAAACACGCATGCAGAAATGCATCTAGAATGCATCAAACACACATGCAGAAACGCATCAAACACGCGTGCAGAAACGCATCCGGAGCGCATCAAACACACATGCAGAAATGCATCAGGAACACATCAAACACACATGCAGAAATGCATCCGGATGGCATCAAACACACATGCAGAAATGCATCCGGAATGCATCAAACACACATGCAGAAACACATCCGGAACGCATACGCTCTGCATTTCTATGGTGTGAACCAGCCCTAAGCTTTGTGTATTTTTTCCAGTTCTGTGCAGAGATCCAGTGTGAGACTTCTTCTCTGTGCAGGAGCTTTTTTTACAGGAGCTTCCTGTAAAAAAGACCGCTCGCTGCTGCTCTCCCTGCACGTGCAGGGTGATTGGCCTTGTCTCCTCCCCCACCTCTAGGCAGCCTGTAGTGGGTGGAGCCTGCTGGGGCCCTCCCACAGCTCTGCTCTCTGCACAGGCTATGTATGGCACAGTGATGATGTCAATGCTACTTTTACAAAGTAACAACTGGGTTTGCAAAGGTATTTGGTGCCCAGAATGTGGATTTATAACTTTTGTGGCTACTGGCGAATACAGTATATTTAAATGAAAGTATTTTTTTCTGGAGCTCAACTTTAACTCCCTCTCCATGCAGGATTATGAAGAAGAGTTTGAAGGTCCGTGTGTAACGTCAGTAGGGAAAGAGGACCACGTGCCCCTCCCATCCCTGGTAAGATCCCCGTTTTGTGCTTTCACTTTTATATGCAGTTTAGCCTGGCTGTAGTAAAAGGTCAGGCCATTAGGGAGTTTCCATAGTCCATACTAGTCCATGGAGCCCAGTGTTGTCCTCCAGCCCAAAGTCCTTCAGTAGGTTGGGACTTATGAATAAATAATGGAATAAGGAATGCTTCTTATATCAACAGGAAAGCTAAAAGAATGTCCCTTACATTGGTGGTCAGTGGGAAGAATGTTCCTTACATTGGGGGTCAGTGGGAAGAATGTTCCTTACATTGGTGGTCAGTGGGAAGAATGTCCCTTACATTGGGGGTCAGTGGGAAGAATGTCCCTTACATTGGTGATCAGTGGGAAGAATGCTCCTTACATTGGGGGTCGGGGAAGAATGCCCCTTACATTGGGGGTCAGTGGGAAGAATGCCCCTTACATTGGTGATTAGTGGGAAGCATGCCCCTTACATTGGGGGTCAGTGGGAAGAATTCTCCTTACATTGGGGGTCAGTGGGAAGAATGTACCTTACATTGGGGGTCAGTGGGAAGAATGTCCCTTACATTGGGGGTCAGTGGGAAGAATCCTCCTTACATTGGGGGTCAGTGGGAAGAATGTCCCTTACATTGGGGTGTCAGTGGGAAGAATGTCCCTTACATTGGTGGTCAGTGGGAAGAATGTCCTCCTTACATTGGTGATCAAACACACATCTGGGAGTCTTTGGAACGATGCAGGGCTGCTGGATGGAGAAAGTACTTGCTGGCATTGGATCAGGCAAAAGCTTTTGATCGAGTGAATCATGAATATCTGTGGTTGCTGCTTGGTAGATACGGCCTGCAGGGGAGGTTTATAGATTGGCTGAAGACATTATATAAAGGGGCTGAGAGCTTCCCACTTGTTAATGGTTGGGTTGGGCGGCCTTGTGAGGTCGGCTCTGGTGTGCGCCAGGGATGTCCTTTGAGCCCCCTGCTATATGCTTTCGCAATCGACCCCTTTGTAAGAAGGCTAGAGGGCGCATCGTTGTGCGGGGTGCCTAAGGGCATTGCTGGTGTGCCGCCTTTGAAGGTCGTCGCCTATGCTGATGATGTGTCTGTTATTATCTCTGGGACTGAGGAGGCGCAGGAGGTGGTCTCTGTGATAGAGCAGTACACGGAGGCTTCTGGCTCTAAAGTCAACCATGAAAAGAGTGAAGTTTTCTGGATGGTTGAGGAGGGTGAAAGCTTCGAACTTCCGGATGCCTTCCCAGATCCCCAGCAGCAAATTAAAGTTTTGGGCATCAAATTTGGTCCTGGTGACTATGGTCATCAAAACTGGGAAAGCAGGTTGGTAGATGCCAATGCCAAAGTAGCAAGCTGGAAGAGATGGAGGCTTTCCTTGAGGGAGAGGGTTGACTTGATCAAACTTACTTACCTGATTCCGATCTTTTTATATGTCAGCTTTGTCTGTATCTTGCCGGTATCTCTCTATGCAAGGGTCTTCAGCTGTTTTTTCCAACTGTTATGGGGAAATAGGCTGAACCTGATCAAACCTAATGTAACTTACCTGTCCAGGCGGGAGGGTGGCCTAGGAATGGTCAACCCGATAGTTTTCTTTTCTTTGCTCTTTTTAAAGTACAATCTTGGTAATATGTTAGCAGAGACCCCGCCGGGATGGGTGGGTATTTTTCAGTCTTGGTTTAGGCCTTTTCTGCATTGCTGGGAAGATGGCGGGCCAGTGAAAAGTCTGAGAGTCCGACATGGCAAGCTCCCGGCTTATGTTGCCCCGTGTCTGAAAATACTTCGGCAGTGGCAGGTGACAGTGGAGGATATCAGGTCCCTTCCCAGGAAGCTTCTGGGGGAGAGGATTTTGGCTTCTGCTTTCAGTGTGTCACTGGCCTTAAAGGATTGCCCAGGTTCTGTAATGAGGGAGGGGTTGCGTTTAATTAACTTGGAGAGAATCCCTTTGACGTTTAGGGGTCAAGCCTGGCTCGCTTTTCATGGAAGGCTCTATGTGAGAGGGAACCTGAAGCACCGCCCTGTGGATGATCGGGATTGTCCTAGAGCAGAGTGTGTTGGTAAAGTGGAGTCTATGGACCACTTTCTGCTCTAGTGTCCCTTTAACATAGAGGTGTATAAAAGGGTGGGGAGGGTTCTGGGCATCCCCTTTATCTATCGCATGAGTTATGCAGAGTGGATGTACGGGGCATTCCCAGCTCGCTGGGACTTTGATTTGATACACTTTTTCTAGTTAGTATAGTTGTTCGTTACTTCACATGGAACGCACGGTATCAGATTACCCTACGGAAGAAAGTCCTCCCTGTAGAGGTGGTGGTGCACGATATTCTGGGTGAGGTCGGGAAGATTCAGGGTCTTGAAAAGGGCAGAGAGCCTCGGGCGGTCTGGATAAGGGCGTGGAGGAATATCAGACCTGCCTTTGGTGAACTGTCCATCTCTGGGTGAGGGGCTCTTTCCTTATACTGTTCTTTTCACTCCCTTAGTTTTTGTTGATTAAGATCTTTTTTGAAGAAGGGCTGCTTGCATAATGGGGGCGGGGTGGTTTCTTGACCTCACAGGTTTGATGTCTGGTGTAGTGATGTGAGTGGTAGTACGATTTATTTCCCCAATTATGTCATGTTCATTTCTGAGACGTTTGCTTTTGTCTGACAGCAGATTTTGCTATATTTATTTTCGTTTTGCTGAAAATATATATATAATTTTTATTTTTTTATATTCTGTATATTATTTTATGTTTATTGATTGCAAGACTTTTAATAAAGAAAAAATTGGGAAGAATTCTCCTTACATTGGTGGTCAGTGGGAAGAATGTCCCTTACATTGGGGGTCAGTGGGAAGAATGTCCCTTATATTGGTGGTCAGTGGGAAGAATGTCCCTTACATTGGAGATCAATGGGAAGAGTGTCCCTTACATTGGGGGTCAGTGGGAAGAATGTCCCTTACATTGGGGGTCAGTGGGAAGAATGTCCCTTATATTGGTGGTCAGTGGGAAGAATGTCCCTTACATTGGAGATCAATGGGAAGAGTGTCCCTTACATTGGGGGTCAGTGGGAAGAATTCTCCTTTCATTGGTGGTCAGTGGGAAGAATGTCCCTTACAGTGGTGATCAGTGGGAAGAATATCCCTTACATTGGTGGTCAGTGGGAAGAATGTCCCTTACATTGGGGGTCAATGGGAAGAATTCTCCTTACATTGGTGGTCAGTGGGAAGAATGTCCCTTACAATGAGGGTCAGTGAGAAAAATGTCCCCTTACATTGGTGAGCAGTTGAAAGAATGTCCCTTACATTGGTGGTCAGTGGGAAGAATGACCCTTACATTGGTGATCAGTGGGAAGAATGCTCCTTACATTGGTGATCAGTGGGAAGAATGCTCCTTACATTGGTGATCAGTGGGAAGAATGCCCCTTACATTGGTGATCATGGGAAGAATGCCCCTTACATTGTACATTGGTGATCAGTGGGAAGAATGCTCCTTACATTGGTGATCAGTGGGAAGAATGTCCCTTACATTGGTGATCAGTGGGAAGAATGTCCCTTACATTGGTGATCAGTGGGAAGAATGTCCCTTACATTGGGGGTCAGTGGGAAGAATGTCCCTTACATTGGTGGTCAGTGGGAAGAATGTCCCTTACATTGGGGGTCAGTGGGGAAGAATGTCCCTTACATTGGTGGTCAGTGGGAAGAATGACCCTTACATTGGTGATCAGTGGGAAGAATGCTCCTTACATTGGTGATCAGTGGGAAGAATGCTCCTTACATTGGTGATCAGTGGGAAGAATGCCCCTTACATTGGTGATCAGTGGGAAGAATGCCCCTTACTGTACATTGGTGATCAGTAGAAGAATGCTCCTTACATTGGTGATCAGTGGGAAGAATGTCCCTTACATTGGTGATCAGTGGGAAGAATGTCCCTTACATTGGTGATCAGTGGGAAGAATGTCCCTTACATTGGGGGTCAGTGGGAAGAATGTCCCTTACATTGGTGGTCAGTGGGAAGAATGTCCCTTACATTGGGGGTCAGTGGGAAGAATGTCCCTTACATTGGTGGTCAGTGGGAAGAATGTCCCTTACATTGGTGATCAGTGGGAAGAATGTCCCTTACATTGGTGGTCAGTGGGAAGAATGTCCCTTACATTGGAGGTCAATGGGAAGAATGTCCCTTACATTGGGGGTTAGTGGGAAGAATTCTCCTTACATTGGTGGTCAGTGAGAAGAATGTTCTTTACATTGGGGTCAGTGGGAAGAATGTCCCTTACATTGGTGGTCAGTGAGAAGAATGCCCCTTACATTGGTGGTCAGTGGGAAGAATGCCCCTTACATTGGTGGTCAGTGGGAAGAATGTCCCTTACATTGGTGGGCAGTAGGAAGAATGTCCCTTACATTGGTGGGCAGTAGGAAGAATGTCCCTTACATTGGTGATCAGTGAGAAGAATGTCCCTTACATTGGTGATAAGTGAGAAGAATGTCCCTTATATTGGTGGTCAGTGGGAAGAATGCTCCTTACATTGGTGGTCAGTGGGAAGAATGATCCTTACATTGGTGGTCAGTGGGAAGAAGGCCCCTTACATTGGTGATCATTGGGAAGAATGCCCCTTACATTGGTGATCAGTGGGAAGAATGTCCCTTACATTGGTGGTCAGTAGGAAGAATGTTCTTTACGTTGGTGGTCAGTGGGACCAATGTCCCTTACATTGGTGGTCAGTAGGAAGAATGTTCTTTACATTGGTGGTCAGTGGGAAGAATGTTCCTTACATTGGTGATCAGTGGGAAGAATGCCCCTTACATTGGTCATCAGTGGGAAGAATGCCCCTTACATTGGTGATCATTGGGAAGAATGTCCCTCACATTGGGGATCAGTGGGAAGAATGCCCCTCACTTTGGTGGTCAGTGGGAAGAATGCTACTTAAATTGGGGGTCAGTGGGAAGAATGTCCCTTACATTGGGGGTCAGTGGGAAGAATGTCCCTTACATTGGGGGTCAGTGGGAAGAATGTCCCTTTCATTGGTGGTCAGTGGGAAGAATGTCCCTTACATTGGTGATCAGTGGGAATAATGCGCCTTACATTGGTGATCAGTGGGAAGAATGCCCCTTACTGTACATTGGTGATCAGTGGGAAGAACGCCCCTTACTGTACATTGGTGATCAGTGGGAAGAATGCCCCTTACATTGGTGATCAGTGGGAAGAATGCCCCTTACATTGGTGATCAGTGGGAAGGCCCCTTACATTGGTGAAGAATGTCCCTTACATTGGGGGTTAGTGGGGGAATTTGGTGTCAGTGGTTACTTATCTGTGAGGCAGGAGTTTCCTTTTGCTTAAGGAACCCATGGAAGCCTCTGGAGGGACTCTAGGGTTCCACAGGACCCTGGTTGAGAAAGGTTGTATATTATCAACGAGGGATGTTCTGATAAATAGCATTTTTTTTTAAGTGTACAAGCCGCTGCAATCTATCCGGATGATTGTTCTACAATTAATCCAGTGACACTACTTAGGGGAACTCAGGAACTAATTAAAAGCTACAGTTGGCCTTTGTGGTTAACACATGTCTTGGGACGAATTGCTTATCGACAAATATCCCTACGCTTGGTCAACTGTTGAACATACGAAGTCCATAACTGTCTTTGGTCAGCAGCACTGAGAACGAGCCTGCATGGTAGTTGACTTGTACAATTTTGGGTGCGTCCTTGCTTCCTCCTTAATGCGTGATCTACATTTGTCTTTCAGACACCTAGGTTGGAAGTCCTTAGGTCTTCTTCCAGATGTAACATCTCGAATTGGCTGGTAAATGCGTCGCTTGTTACAAGCCAAACGCGAAGTGAACTAGAACCAAGCTTATGTGATGTCACCACGTTTACCATTTCCAAGGAGAACCCCAACTTTGATAAACAAGGCGTGGGTGGAACAAATGTTCCCACAGGCAGCACAGCCAGTCTTACACATCATACCCAATGCAACTCTACTCAAATTAAGAAGGAGTCCATCTCATGTGAAGAAAACGATCTTGCCAGCTCTTCCTCTCCCATGGATCACATAGAATAGTTATCTGTCACTGTGAAGGAGGAATACAGTGAGGAGGATGGCAGTGGTCTCTCTGACTCTGATAATGAGGGGACGCAGAACATTGATGAAGCATTGTGTTTTCCAGAATGTGGGAAGGCCTTCAGCTCCAAGGAAGAGCTCATACGCCACCAGGCTTCCCCCTTGGACTCGAAAGGCAGCGAATGTCTAGAATGTGGAAAGTTCTTTTCAAAGAAGTGCAATCTTCGGGTCCACCAGAGGTCCCACTGGGGGGAAAAGCCATTCTCCTGCACTGAATGTAAGCAAAGCTTCTCCGTCAAGTCAACGCTGGTCAGGCACATGATGATTCACAGTGGCGAGAAACCGTTTACTTGTCCCATGTGCGGTAAATGTTTCCGGCAGAGCCAGTCGCTGGTCGCCCACCAGAGATCCCACACGGGAGAGAAACCCTTCACCTGTCCCATGTGTGAGAAATCCTTCAGCAGCAACCAGTACCTGGTGGCCCACCAGCGCAGTCACAATGGCGAACGGCCGTATCCCTGCCCCGAGTGTGGCAAATGCTTTAGCAAGAAGCCCACACTGGTTATCCACCGTCGGATCCACTCGGGGGAGAAACCCTATACCTGCCTGGACTGCGGCAAATGTTTCATCTGGAGCTCTGCCCTTGTCGTCCATCAGAAGACCCATGTGGCTGGCAAACCCTACCCCTGCTCCGAGTGCGGAAAATTCTACCGGTCGAAGAAGACGTTGATGGCTCACATGAAGCATCATAACAGAGACCTGATTGCCAGTGTGTCAGTATGATGTCCGAGGATGGAGACTTGTGGCATGTTCTCATTGGGCAGTAGAGGTGGCCTTTTCACAAAAGTAGACCTCTTGTTTTGTAGATGGAAGGTTTTCAAGATGGAAGGTTTTCAAGATGGAGGTTTGTCTTGCCTTTCATTGATGAAAGCTTGTGCCTGGGTTTGGTGTCCTGAAGAGCCGGTGATAAGAGAGAGGGAACCGTATTTTTGAAGAGCTAAGTTAGGTTCCTCCTTGAAAAAAAGGAAAAAACAGCGCAAACATAGACCTTTACATGAAATCAATATTACAAAGTGCAAACATAAGTGAAAAATTGATCAGTGGTAAAGTCCATCAAAATAAACCAAAGTTCAAAAAATATTAGTGCAAAAAAGAAAAAAAGAAATAAAGAAAAAAATATTTTCAAATTCTTCTTCTAATATAGAGGAACTTCCACCTTCCACCCGTGAAAACCAATATCAAATGCACTCACCAGATAAAGGTGAAAAAAACGCCTCTTAGGAATTTTTATGGGATCCTACACCCTCTTTCGTATCCACTCTATAGGAATCCTCCTCTCCACCATAGGCTCCACCATCCGACCAGGGAGAAAAAAATCTCAGATAGTGTAATATTGTAAGACACCATTCATAAGTGAAATCAAGGATTAAGGTCACTCACATTCAATTCAATTTAAAAAGGCATATTTATTAGGATCAGCTTCTTCCAAATAAACAGTAGATGCAAGGCAACCTCCCACGGAATCCCACATCACAGCTCCAGGTTTCAGCAGAAGCTCTACAGAGACACCGCATATACAGATCCCAAAAGATGGCCGCTGGAACGCACCGCTCAGCGTGCGCTCCACTCACCGGAAGTGACGTCAGACGTACGGAGTACAAACCGGACGCATTTCCGGTTTGTACTCCGTACGTCTGACGTCACTTCCGGTGAGTGGAGCGCACGCTGAGCGGTGCGTTCCAGCGGCCATCTTTTGGGATCTGTATATGCGGTGTCTCTGTAGAGCTTCTGCTGAAACCTGGAGCTGTGATGTGAGATTCCGTGGGAGGTTGCCTTGCATCTACTGTTTATTTGGAAGAAGCTGATCCTAATAAATATGCCTTTTTAAATTGAATTGAATGTGAGTGACCTTAATCCTTGATTTCACTTATGAATGGTGTCTTACAATATTACACTATCTGAGATTTTTTTCTCCCTGGTCGGATGGTGGAGCCTATGGTGGAGAGGAGGATTCCTATAGAGTGGATACGAAAGAGGGTGTAGGATCCCATAAAAATTCCTAAGAGGCGTTTTTTTCACCTTTATCTGGTGAGTGCATTTGATATTGGTTTTCACGGGTGGAAGGTGGAAGTTCCTCTATATTAGAAGAAGAATTTGAAAATATTTTTTTCTTTTTTTCTTTTTTTCTTTTTTGCACTAATATTTTTTGAACTTTGGTTTATTTTGATGGACTTTACCACTGATCAATTTTTCACTTATGTTTGCACTTTGTAATATTGATTTCATGTAAAGGTCTATGTTTGCGCTGTTTTTTCCTTTTTTTCATTGTTTGTGTTGATCACAGTGCACAGCAGCAGGATAGAACCTGTATTAGAGTGTTTTACTAGGCGCAGGAAGAATTTTTTAGTTTTTTTGTAGGTTCCTCCTTGTCTATTTGAATGGTCATTCCACATTTATGGGGCGTTTTTTTTCTCTCATCTCTATCTTCCCGCCAGCCATATACAGAAGTCTTGTTCTCCACGTAATAAAAATTTTTAAATGGTTGTGTAAGATTGATGATCGGGGGAAGCAGAGTTGGGGAGTTTGATGGTCTGGAGGCCATAAGGGTAGAAGACTCCCTTCAAGTCCCAACATGTCCATTCTAAACCCAACACCCAAGCTTGTAAGGATGGCCATGTAAGACAGACTCCATTTTTGGTTTGGTGTTGTGACTCTTCCACCACTAGCATGTTAAAATTCAAAAAGTGGGCAAGCTTCATGGACTTCTGTTGTTCTATAGAAGGCTT